CTGTCCTGAAGACATTTTTTTCCACAATATAATTAAATATTTTGTTTGAACTTTAAGTCCTAAAAGAGATACTTGGCAACTGTTTTTGTTAAAAGAACTTGATTTCTCTGGTGTAGTATATGTGATGTGCCAGAAAAAAATTCAGAGAACTGTGCAGCGGACCTTGGCCAGTGGAAGATCACCATCCATCAATTCTTTCTCTACAACTCACCCTGTTACGAGAAACTATACAACAAAGAATGCTGACGAGGAACAGAAGGAACAGAAGATGAGCTCATCATGCTGTTGATAGTCTAGCAATGTCTATGTGCAGGATAGAGAGGACAATCCAGAAGTTGCTCAACCACAGAGCTGGACGTCTCAGCACTTCCATTCTGGTAGAGATCTGAAAAATCCCTAGAGTTGTTCTATTTAGTCCATGTTGGAAGGCTAATGGAGCTGTGGTCTCTCACTGGAGGATTGTAACAGCAACAGCAGCAGCCACACTCAGCAGAAAGAAAACACATGAAGCCAGGACAAACTGCTTTTTCTTCAGACATCTTTATTTAGGTTCCAACCACGTTTTGCCTGTTTACAATCAAAGGTTGGAGCCATGTTTTTACAGGACATATGTGTAGGCCAATTCATACCTTAAGTCGTGACAAACCATGTTTTATATGTCAGTCAGTGACAGGCTCATAAGTGCGGACACAGGCCTCTTCCAAGCATTTCCAGGCAAGTGAGGAGCAGGCAAAGCCACCAACAAGGATTTCCCCCAACTCACTGTGAATTGACCATGACAAGGCTACTCATTTCATAAACACTAATGCACAGACCTCAACTAAAGGCAATCAGCTGCAATCAGTTCTACCTCAGAAACCTATACTTAGTAGGTTGTATAAACAGGTTATTAGAAGCCAGGTGTGTTGACACAGGAATTTAACACCAGCACGTGGATGGCATAGGCAAGAGGTTTTATCTGTTCCACAAACCATGAAGGCTATTGCCACTACTCTTGGGTACATGCTGAAACTAGAAGGTAAGCCACTACTGCTGAAGACATCATTTGCTTTGCTTGCAGAACATGGAGAAATTATGCTGGAATAAGGTGGAAGCTTCCTCCATTCTAGCTGGCTTGCATATACAAGGAGCAAGGCAGACTGCTGGTGAACTGCCACCAAGAGTCCTGTTCATCTATAAACCCTGTGTAACCAGTACCAACAGGACAGGCACAATATGGCTCCTGGTACCACAGTAGCACAACTATTGTTTGAGTCCAAGAGCTTTTAGATTGGATTTACAGCCCACCCCACAGGAGAAAACTTGTGTTTGATATTATAAGGAACAAAACTTGCAGCCAGAGACATCATGGGACCCAGCGCTAAGCGGTGGACGTCATGTGCTTCTCAAACTCCCTTCTCAACATTTCAGTTCATGTCTAATAGGTCACTGCTATGTCAGCTGCAATCCATCATGGAAGGAAACATCCTTTCACAATGGATTGTATAGCACAAAGGCTCAGAACGAATGATGAAGATCCTGACAAAAAGTGAGTACTGTTCCAGCACAGTGGCCTAATATTAGGTATAGAGGACATTTGGATCCACATTCTCCACCCACAAAGTTCTAAAAGCATTACAAAAAAATGTAAGAGTCAGAGGAAGGGGTGGCGTGTCATTGGGGAAATTCTCTCTGAACTGACGTAGTGCCTCTCACAGGAAGGCATGAGACTCAAGAAGTAAATAAGATGTTCTGGAATGCTCAAATTCACAATATTCCCAAGGCCACTCCACAAGGTTATAGAAGTGGTAAACAACTGTGAAAAGAAGAAATTACCCAACTAAACAGGCTTCCTGCCAGTTGTGCAGAGATCTCAGATTGCAGATTCTATGAGTCATCACTTAGATTGGATGAGCTTTTTGGTGATGCAGCTGTCTGTGCTTGTCCATGCTCCTCAAAGTAACTCCAGTAAAATCCTTCGTTCACCTAATCAGATTTTAGTAGAATTCCTTTTTTGTTTTATTAGTTTCCTATCTCAGGTGAGTAGACATTTGCTCAGGTCTCCCCAGGAAAAGTCTCATGCAACACTGCTGCTGATGGGAACTGTGACAGCTCAATCCTTTCCCCTGTTGTTTATATTCTTAGAGGTTTGAGAGTGAATTTTCCCTAACTGAAGTGAACTCATATAAAACATTAACAGCACGTGGATTTAACATTTCAAGGAATTTTCTCCCATGATTTTTTGACATTCAAAGAGCACTGGTGTGAAATTGCTCTGCCATGTATTTAATAACTCATTTCCTCTTGTAATCAAAAGGAAATATGAAATGAAAAGGTTTCCACATTCTTTACACTGACAGGGTATTCTCCAGTATGAATTTTTCATGTAATTTAAGATAAATGTACAAGTGTAGGACTTGCATTGCTTTCATTCATTTCATTTTGGTCCAATGTGAATTTTCACATAAAGGAAGATAAGTGTGACATCAAAGGCTTTACCACACTGTTTGCATTACTAGGTTTACTAAAATATGAATTCTTTCATGTAAAGATGACTGACATCTAAAGGCTTTTCCACACTGTTCCTATTCACAGGGTGTTGTGTAGTATGAACTTGTTATGTCTCTGAACATCACTGTGACATCTGAAGTCTTCATCACATTATTTACATTCAAACAGGTTTTCTGCAGTATGTCTTCTTTCATGCAACTTAAGATATCTGTGCCATCTAAAGGCTTTATTGTGTTGTTTACATTCATATGATTTCTCTCCTGCATGAGTTTTTTCATGTAACAAGACAATTTGGCCACGTAATGGACTTTCCATACTGTTTACATTCATATGGTTTCACTCCTGTATGAAGTTTTTCATGTACTCGAAGAAAAGTGTATAGGGTTAAAGGTTTTGTCACATTGTTTATATTCATATGGTTCTACTCCAGTATGCATTTTTTCATGATTCTGAAGATGACTGTTATGCTTAGAGGCTTTGTCACACTGTTAACATTCATATAGTTTTTCTCCAGTATGAATTTTTTCATGTACTCGAAGGTTTTTATACCATCTATAGGTTTTATCGCATTGTTTACATGT